GAAAGTCACTGTGTACATCCACCTGGTTGAAGATCTTTTCCACTGACCCTTCACCTTTCCAAGCATGATGCCCTTTTCCAAGGAATAGCCCCTCCTAGCAACATGCCGGAAGTTTGTGAGATGAAGCTTCAACATCTTCACCTCCAAGGAACACTGGGGCTATATTTTCTCCAAGACATTTCTGTTTTTTCTTTTGGCAGTCCATGGGATACTCAGCACTCCTCTCCAACACCACAGCTCAAAGGTATCAATTATTCTTCTTCAAGGGCCACATAGCTTAGTGATAGAGATGCACTGTCAACCCAAAGGCTTAAGGTTCAAATCCACCAGCCACTCCATGAGAAAAAGCTGGGAAATCTTCTCTTGTGTCATTGGATAGCCTCTGAAAATCCACTGGAGAATCAGCTAAGAGTCTGTTCTGACTTGATGGTACATTACAACAATATGAGGTGAATCAACTATATGGTAGTGGGTAATAATTAATCAAAATAACTTTTGAGTTTCAAATTGGAACGCTCTATCATCATAAAACCTCAGTTAATTAATTCTGCAGAGGAATAAAAGTATGCAAAGCAAAAATAAAAGAAAAGCCAAGGTATAATATTAAATAAGTCTAGTTAACAAATAACTAAATTTTTTTAAATCAAGTTCACATTCTACTCCAAGGATCCTATCCATGCCTGGGCCTCTCACTCTGTAAACAATTGAGAACACTGTATTACTCTGGGCATGTCTCTTCTCTTACTGCCTGAACCACCAAAGTGTTGAATCATTTACACCCACATATTTTCTTTAAACCTTGAACACACTAAGTTTGCTCCTAAATGGCAAGTTTCCAACTTTAAAAGACAAAGGTAAAATGATAACGTATTTAATCACGGTTTTCAAAAAACCAAAACCAACCCACTATAATCAAGTCAGCTGAGACTCATGGAGACCCTCCTAGGGGTTTCCAAGGCTGAAAACCTTAACTATTAGTAGACTGCCCCATCCTTCTCCCATGAAGTGGCTGGCTGGTGGATTTCAGATGTGGAACTTTGCATTAGTGTTGTGTTCAGTATCTCCCACAATTAAAGAAATACCTTTGTTCTGAGTTGTTCTGAGTATTTTTATTCTCAGTTTGACCAACAAAATATATCCAGTAGTGCAGAGTTGAAGCTTATATTATCATGTTGTGATTTTTCACTTTTACAATTTCTTTATGAAGAAGTGGAAAATTGGTCCCATAGTAACGTGCCTGCCTTCCTATCAATGTCCTCACCCAGGATCAGTGCCTGCAAAATGTCAGTTATTTGAATATTGCTGTCATGGATTATCTTACAGAAATCAGGTTCACATTGCCTTATCTAAAATGTTGGAGCCAGCTGAGTCTAAGATTTTCAAAGGTATTACACCACCTATTCCATCTTTTACATATATCTCTATAGCAACACTCAAATATTTCTTCAGCAAATGTCTGAACATTCACACAAAAGGAGATAACACAGAACAAAAACAGTGTGAGTTCAGGCCAGATTTTGCAGCAGATGTGTTGCCATAACTTATCTAAAAGCAAAAAAAAAAAAAAACCAAAACTAAAACAAGTAAGAATAATAATAAAAAAGGGGGCCCTTCATTTTTGGGTCATTTATTTTTATTGAGAACTGTGGATATTTTATTGAGAATCTTGATTTCATGTTACTAAAATTATTTTCATAAAAGAAAATTTGTTTGATTAAGATTATTAGCAAACAGGGGAAATGTGAGACACTGCCTTTTACAACAAATCAGTAAATTTATTTTTAGGGGAATTAAAATCTCCCTCTTGATGCTATCCTGGCTGCCTCCACAATGCCAGTGCCTCCGTTAGCATCACAATAGTTCAATCAGCTTATCTGCTGGGGAGATTTCTCTGTCAAAATTTTAAGTTCCAGCAGCAATTCCCCAATCTCAGCAGCACAGCAGAGCAGCACATGCTAGCAGAGCACCCCAGAAACACACTCCAAACAGCATATCAGATTGACACCCCACCAGTTCAGGACGACTGAGCATAATTCAGCAGAGCACTGGCTCAGGGTGCCTTCTGGCCTGTTTCTGTTCTGTTCCTGGGCACTCACAGTCTACAGATTAGTGAGGCCACCAGTGGGTGCTGCTGGTGGCATGGAAGGACCCAGGATCTGGTGAAATAAAAGGCATGACCCAAGAAGTTCCAGAAGGCCAGCTGGGGCAAACATTCAAGCACTAAATAGTTAACAAAAAGGTGGATGATTTGAAACTGAAAAGGAGCATTCTAAAACCAGGCTCAAACTTCTAAGTTCTAACCCAAATCCTCCTTCTCCTAAATGACTCCATTTGGTACTTTTCCATCGTACAATAAAGACTTTCACTTCTGTAAAATTTCTCCCCTGAACCATTAACCCAGATACAGTTTCTACAGAAAAATGCGGTTTTGCCCACCCTATTCCACTGATAGGGCTCTCTGCTGCTGCTACTGTTGTTGGGTGCCCTTGAATTGGAACTGACCCACAGCTGGCCTCCGGTGGGTTTACAGAGGCAATTAAACGGGTGGGAGGAGACTGCCCATCTCTCCCACAGAGCAGTGAATGGATTGTAACTGTGTACCACTAAGTCGCTGCCCACCCAAAAGTGTTTCTAGGCAGTCTTCTGCCACACAATTTATAGCGTCCAAAACCGAGTCATTTCACAATGTATGAATGGCAGTGAGTTGAGTCCTGAGGGGTGTTTTTTCTACTGATAAATGGGCTTGTAGTTGGGAATAGACAGTGGTAGTAGAGCATGCAACTTTAGTGGCCTCCTTAAGAGCTCCTCAGTTATGCTTGTAATTTTCCAAACTTTTGTTCTAACTCAACACATGACAACAATCAGCTGATATGAAAGACAACATTATAGCTTTTCTGTATTAAGATCCCTTTCCCATCCTGGGGCATTAATTAGAACACTTGACACTTATACTCGTAAATATTCTATCCTGTCAACAAACTCTGCTTATAGGTCAACAGAGCTCACTATCTTAAAGCTACCACAATCAACACTCTTGGTAGTCAGGAAATCAAAAGAGGAAGTGCACTGGGAAAATCTGCTGTCAGCATACTAAACAGGATGGATATCAGTCTAGAGACTAAGGTACGCCTGATCCATGCAATGGTCTTTGCAATTACTTGCTATGCATCAGAAAGCTGGACAATGACTAAGGATGACAGAAGAAGAATTGATGCCTTCAAGTTGTGGTGCTAGAGAAGAGTTTTGAACTCTTCTTGGCATGAAGTGCCAATAAAACAAATAAGTCTGTCTTAGAGAGGGTGAAACCAAGTTTCTCCTTGGAGGCTAGGATTTTGAAGCTCTATCTCACCTACTTGCAGCACTTGGCCAGGAGGTCCTTAGAGAAGGATATCATGCTCAGAAGGGTGGAAGGACAGCACAGGAGAGGAAGATCCTGGTTGAGATGGGTTGATACAGTAACTGGGGCATTGGGGTAGGTGTGTCAGAATCAGTGAGACTGGCTCAGGCCAGGGCAGGCTCCAGACATGCTGTAGATAGAGTCTCTATGAGTCACAGGCAACTCCATGACACATAACAACAACATTTCAGTTTAACCGAGGCTGCAGATATCTGGAGGAGGCCTGGTGGCATAGTATGTTATGTACTGAACAATTAACTAGAGGGTGTGAAGTTTGGATCACCAATCACTCTTCAGGATAAAGATGTACCGTCTTCTATAAAGATATACAGCTTCAGACACTGATAGAACATCATCATGAGTCACAATCGAAACCACAGCAGTAGGTTGGGTGGGCAGATGTCAGAAAACATGGGATTTTAGTGATTAGACCAAATTCTGTCACCTGACAAAGGAGGCCCTCAAAACCCTTATTGTTGTGGAGTAGGAACCAACTCAAAGCTGACCCTCTAGTGGGTTTTTCAAGACTGAAAATCACACAGGAGGAGAAGTGACCACCTCTGGGTTAGCAGCACAACTTCCTTCCATACTAGCCACCAAGCCCCGCCACCTGCAATTGTACAACGCTAACCACTAAAAACATATTCCAGCTGTACCCTTTTGCTGCCAACTTTTAACATTATTAACCTCTAATACTAAGGCACGTTTTCTAAAGAGTTGTGTTTTCCGTTTTGCAAAACTCCCTTTTGTCGTTAATAAAGTTCTTTGTTTTCACTTTTAACAGACTGGCAGTTCTACAAGTCTGCAACAGATTCCACAACAGAACCCACTCTCAGCTCTGTGGGGAAGGCCCCCCACTCTTCTCCCGTGAAGATTACAGTCTGGAAGCCCTATGGGCAGTTGTACACATAGGGTCACTATGAGTCAAAATTCCTCCTCCGCATCTAGCAGGAACAAGTTCCACCCTTCAACTCACGTGAAGTCCAGCTGGCCTATAGCAAAGCATTCGTCACCCTGACAACGGACTTTCAGAATACCCGACGGTGCGAAGTGGGCCACCCCATTTTGTCAAGAGCTGCGGGCCCAGAGTGGATCTGGAATGCTAAGAGTGGCCACTAAGGGTTGGAGGAGAGGGTAAAGAACGGAGCAGAGGGCTCCGAGGCGGACGACACTCCCACTCATCCACCCAGTGCCACCAACTCGCCAACAACCTGGCCCCGCGCGACCAGCCCAGAGGAAGTGGCTGAGCTGTGTTTTCAAAGTTACCGACCCAGGGGAGAGGGCTGTCCTTTGAGGTGTCCACACTCATTCCTCCCTTGCCCCCTCTAGGCTCCTAATAAGGTGAGCAGGACGAGGTGAGCCACCCTGTGTCTGCCTCGGGATGGGCTTCGTCGATTTCAGTCACCCTCCCAATACCCCGGCTAGTGGTTCCCCGATCAGGGATCCCTCATCAAAGCCAACAAAGGACTTGCCTTCGCGAACCTACACCCTTCCATCTGCCCCGCGAACCCAGGACTCCGTGCGGTCCTGACTGCGGTCCTGGCAGTGGCTGAGCACCGCCAACTCCTCGGTAATCTGAGCTCTCCTGCCCCCAGCGTCTCACCTTTGGTCGTGTGACTGCACGAGGCGGTGGCGGCCAGCAGGATCGCGGCCCCTAGCAGCCACGCCACGCTCGGACTCCGCATCCTCCCAGCAGCTCTGACGCCGCCAGGGAACTGCAGCCGCGGGTTCGAAGCTCGGAGCCCTGCTCCCTGCTGAGCCTCACCAGGTACACCTGGAGCTCTGCGCGCGCCGCCCCCGAGCCCGGGTAAATTTCAGTGAAACCTGAGCCTCTCGACGCACCTGCTGGAGGCCACCCCCCCTTGGGGGGCCGAACCCACGACTGGACACGCCCACTTAGGAAGTCCCCCGCCGGGCCACGCCCCGTCCGGATCAGGTCCACGCCGCCTATCCATGACTACGCCCTCTGCCCCAAGAACCTGCACTCCTGCATGTGAGCCACCTCTTGGCTAGGCTATTGGGCCGTCCCTGGAAAGAACGAGAAGCAACCTCAATGGAATGCAACAATCGGGACTTGGGCCATGCCTTTAACCTTTGCTCCTAGAAAGCCAAGAGGAACATGAGTAAAGCAATTACACTATTTAACTATAATCGTCAGAACAGAGCAAGGAAACACTGCCTGGTTCAGAATTGGGAAGGGCGTTACGCCAAGGATGTGTCCGGTCTCCATACCTTTTCAACCTGTATGCAGAACAGATTATCCGGGAGGCTAGGCTCTATGAGGAGAAGTGTGAGGTCAAGATTGGTGGAAGATCTTTCAACAATCTGCGTTATGCCGATGGCACAACCCTGCTTGCTGAAACTGAGGAAGGTCTGAAGCCCTTGCTGCAGAGGGTCAAGGACTGCAGCCTCCAATATGGATTGAGGCTCAATGTCTAGAAGACAAAGATTCTCACCACTGGACCAATTGGCAGCATCAGGATGAATGGTGAAGAGATTGAAATTGTTCACAGCTTTAGTTTGCTTGGCTCCACAGTTAACACCCTTGGCACCAGTAGCCAGGAAATTAAAAGGCACATCGCCATGGGAAAGTCTGCTGTTAGGGACCTCTCCAAAGTACTGAAGAGCAATGGTGTCTCTCTGGAGAATAAGGTGAGCCTGATACAGGCCATGGTCTTTGCAATCGCTTGTTATGCATCAGAGAGTTGGACAATGACTAAGGAGGATAGAAGGAGAATTGATGCCTTTGAGTTGTGGTGCTGGAGAAGATTATTGAGGGTACCATGGACTGCTAGGAAAACAAACAGGTTCATCCTGGAAAGGGTTAAACCGGGTGGCTCCTTGGAGGCAAGGATTCTGAGGCTCCGTCTAACATTCTTTGGACATTGGTGTAAGGAGGGACCGGTCCTTGGAGAGGGACATGATGCTTGGTAGGGTAGAGGGACAGCTCAGGAGGGGAAGGCTCTCTATGAGGTGGATTGATTCCGTGACTGGCGTAATTGGATTGGGTGTATCAGAGACAGTGCGATTGGCACAGGACAGAGCAGAGTTTAGGGCTGTTGTACCTAGGGTCGCTATGAGTCGCAAGCGACTCTGCGGCACATAACAATGACAACAACAACTACTATAATCTGGAATTAAAATGACAATGAAGAAGGATGACAGAAGAATTGATGCCTTTGAGCTGTGGTATTGGACAAGAGTGCTGAATATCCTATGGAGAAGGTGCAGCCAGAGTGCTCCCTGGAGGCTAAGAAGACAAAGCTTTGTTTCTCATAGTTTGGTCATTTTGTTAGGAGAGACTAAAGGACATCATGTTTGTAAAGCTTGGAAAGAGAGGAAGATCTGCAAACAGATGGATTGAAGCAGTGATTGCTACAGTGAGTGGAATATGTCTGAAATTATAAGATTGGCATAGGATAGGATAGGATAGGATAGGATAGGATAGGATAGGATAGGATAGGATAGGATAGGATAGGAAAGAACAGGGTTCAGATCTACTGTTCACGGGATCACCATGAACTCACTGGACTTGGTGGTACTTAACAACAAAGGGGAAAAAAAATAAAGGAGTCCTGATTCCCAGAGCAGCCTGCAATCTGCTCCTGAAAAGATAAGCCTACTCTGTCACTTGGTGTCACTAGGAGTCTGAGAGGACTCAATGACACCACACTATGAAGATAAAATAAACTGTGACTGTGTTTGGTGCATGGCAGAAGCTTAATAAATGCTCTGTTTATTTCTCAGGGGTTTCATGAGCCTTCCTCGTGCTTGCATCCCAGTTCTCAGGATGAAGCTCCTAGGAACACACTCCTCAGGGGCATCCTCTTGGCTATCCCTCTGAAGAAATATGAACGTGGGTAGGGCCCTTCATTATCTTGTCCAGGGGACTCTTCTCCTGAAGGATATCAAGTCATTCCTAAGGGATCATCCCTGGGGAAATACCTACCTATCAAGATTGAAATAGTTAACAATTTGCTCTTACATGGATCCTCAAGCAATAACTTTGATACTAGCAGCCAAGAAATCAGAAGATGTATCACATAGGGGAAATCTGCTGCCAAGGGCCTCTCCAGAGTACCAAAGAGCAGTGATGGCAGTCAAAAGACTAAGGTGCACCTAATTCAAGTATTTACAATTACTTGCTATGTATCAGAAAGTTGAATAATATTAAAGATGACAGAAGAATTTATGCAATGATAGAGAAGAGTACTGAGTATTCCATGGACTTCCATGAAAACAAACATCTGTCTTGAAGAAAGTGAAACCAGAGCTCTCCTTGGAAGCAAGGATGGTAAAACTTCATCTCACATAATTTAGACATTTTAGAAGGGGCCAGTCCTTGGAGAAGGACATCATGCTTGGAAAGGTCAGCATATGAGAGATAGACATGGTGACTGTAACAATGGTCTCAAGTATATTTGAGATGGTAAAGATGACACAGAATAGGGAAAGGTTAAGATATGTTGTTAATAGGGTTGCTATGAGTTGCTGCCTTTCAACTGTAGTATGGGGGAAGAGTACTGAATATCCCACGAACTGCCAAAAGAACAAATAGGTATGTCTTGGAAATACTGCCATCAGAGTGCTCCTTGAAAGCAAAGATAATGAAGCTTTATCTTTCACAGTTTGGACACAAAGCTAGGCAAGGCTATATCTTGGAAAGGAATAGTATGCTTGGAAAGATGGAAGGTCAGCAAAGAAGAAGAAAATCCCCAAAGAAGTAGATTGACACAGTGACTTCAACAATGGGTTCTAGTGTCTCAGAGATGATGACAATGGTACTAGATAAGGTACAGTTTAGGGCAACTGTTCACAGGGTTGCTATGAGTCATACTCAACTTGATGGCACCTAACAACAACAACATGAGTTGCAAGTGCAGGTGACAACAACAACATTACTCATTCGTTGCTATTGGAAGAAGTCCAGCAGGTTTGAGGGGCTGTAAATTGCATGTCCCATTTTTTTCCTGCTGAATAGCTCATAAATTCCAACTACCAAAGAACACCTCTGAGTTAGCGCCGCAACTCCCTACAAACCAGTGTTGAGCATTTTAATAGCAGCTGTTTTTTAATAACTGAGGGAGAACATCTCAGCCGCAAAAGTGGCTTCATCCCGTCCTCATCTTGCAGAACTTCTTTCATTGGGAACTTCATTCCGTATGTCAGCAGCAAGCCTCCGTAGCTTTAAGCTATGAATGTTAGTGTTCTTTGGTATGATTTGGTAGATTAGTTTCGGAGTCCCGAGAACTTCAACATTTCCCCCCATATAAATTAATGGTGGTGGCTGTTGTTATGTGCCGTTGAGTCGCCCGCGACTCATAAGGACCCTATGTACAACAGCTCTAAATCCTGCTCTATCCTGTGCCAATCTCATTGTCACCTACCCTGATTACCCCCATCACTGAATTAATACATCTCATCCAGGGTCTTCCTCTCCTGTGCTGTCCCTCCACCCTCCCAAGCATGACATCCCTCTCCAAGGACTGGTCCCTCCTTGCAATATGTCCAAATCATTATCAGACGAAGCTTCAGAATCCTTGTCCTTGCCCTTTTTCTTCTCTTTCATCTCACCTCGCCTCGCCCCTCTAACCCTTCCTTCATACCTCTCTCCCTCTGTCCCTTCTTTTAGGGGCTCTAGTGTTCTAGTGGGTAGGAAGTTGTGCTGTCAACCCAAAAGAGCTAGTTCAAATCCATCAACTGGTTCCCAGGTGGAAGATGGACCATCTTCTCCCACTGTGATTTACAGCCTTGCAAACTCACTGGAAAAGTCAACTCTAAGTTGGTTCTAACATGATGGCATGTAAAAACAACAAATTCTTTTTCTCTTTCCCCCATTTTGGCTTTACTTTTAGATAGAAGGGTCATCCAGTATCTTTCTTATAAGAGAGCTGAAAGGATTCAATGCGCTACATGCCCAATAAAACACTTCTTAATAGAGATCCTGGTATACTTAGCAAACACACCAGAAATGAAAGCTACTGTATATAGGATAAGGGAGCTCAGGTGATGTCATTCATAGGTTGACATCCTTTGGTTGCCCTACTAACCAAAGTCTGAGCCTCTCTGGCAGTTTGGACACGCAGCTCCATCAAAGAAAGATGCACAATCTCCTCTCCTGCAATGTGCAGCCTTGGAAACCTGCTGTAGGGATCAGAAGTTGATGACAACTTCAACAAGATGGATTGACACAGTGACTGCAGCAATGGGCTCGACTGAGTCAGAGTTGATGAGGATGGCACAGGATAGGACGGTGCTCAAATCTGTTGTTCTTAGGGTTGCTATGAATTATATACTTGATAGCACCTAATAACAACACAGAAGAATAAACTCTTCCTCTTTCCTGAGAATAATGTATTAAGGCCCAACCCTGTCAAATTTCACTGATACTTTACAGAAGTAGGAGCTCTGATAGTGGACTAGCGAACAGGGAGTTGCATACCAATTAAAAGGTGGTGGTGGTGGTGGTGGTGGTGGTGGACCCATAGCTGACTCTTCAGCAGGTTTTTAGAGGCAGTGATTCATCTGGAAGGAGATTGCTGGTTCTTCTCCCACAGAGCAGCTGGTGGTTTCAGTCTTTGGGACTGCAGTACAGCTTCTTACCACTAGGCTACCACAGAGCCCTAATGCAAAAGTAGTTACTGATTTCTGCGGAGTCAAGCACAACTCAGTGAATCTGTGAACA